AAGTTTGAGGGACCCATGGGAATTCCTCTTTAATGATCTTAAGCAAAATGGGAAGTCACATCAATTAAGCAATTTCAGACATCTTGTATGGTGTAAATGCGCTGCTTCTCCATTTACACAGAGAAAAACAAGACACCCCCTTTTTTTTTTTTGATCTAGCAGTTTGAGTCTGCATCCTAGTGATTCTCTGTGATTAAAAAAAAAACAGTTCTCAACATGAAGTGTGTGTGTGTGTGTGTGTGTGTGTGTGTCTTAGTGTGGAAATATCATTCTCTTGTTTCTTGTCCAGTTTCTTGTCTCTGCCCATTTGCCACTGGGCAGACCCATTTCCAGTACAGCTGTAACAAGGAACCCTGCATATCTCCAGCCCTGCTCCTTTCTACCTGTGCAGGCCATATGCACTTTTTGGCTTGACTTCTGTGTCAACATTTTATGGAAGATTCTTTAGATGTTTCACATCTAGAAGGAATTCTCTCCCTGTCTCTCTCCCTCCCTTTCTTTCTTTCATTTTTCCTTTTGATTGAAAATAGATTTCTTTCTCTGTCACATAATACATCCTGTTTATGGCTTCTCCTTCCTTTACTTCTCCTAGTCTCTCCCCGCCTCCCCTTCCATCAGATCCACATCCTTTCTGTCTCTCCTTAGAAAACAAACAGGCTTCTGTGGGATAATAATAAATTATAATAAAATAAAACAAAGACTAACACATCAGACCTGGACAAAACAAACAGAAAGAAAAGAGCCCAAGAAAAGGCTCAAGAAACAAGAGACCCCTTATTTGCATACTCTGGAGCCTTGTAAAAACACTAAACTGAAAGCCTTAATACATATGTAAAGGACCTATGGGGTAAAAGGAGAGAAGAAAAAATATAAATAAAATAAAGAATAAAAAAATAGTAAGATAAAATTTTAAGAGTGGTTAGTTTCCCCAGTAAGACTCTCTAGGAGCAAGCGGCTTTCATTTGCGAATCGCTCTCAGTTGGGGGGAGTCTCCTTTCTTAAGATGAAATTTTCTCTCCTCTTGCCATCATTATTTTCTCGACATATCAGCATGTGATTACACATTGTTTTGAGAGAATCTGTCATTTTGCATGAGTTAGTTTTGTCTTCCCAATTAACTAACTTGAAAATAATCCATCGGGTTCCCCTGCCTGATTTTCTGACATTGACTACTGGGAGTTTGGACTTTGGATAGTGTTCTGGGTGGTTTGCTCAGTCTTATTTATTTGAGACAGGCTCAGGTTTGGAAGCCTGGCCTTGAACTTACTATACAGCCAAGAATTACTCTAAACTTCTGATATTCTTGCCTCTGCCTCCTGAGTTCTGGGTTTGTAAACACGAACCATGGCTGCTTTATGAGGCGCTGGCAACAAACTCAAGATCTTTTTAGGTCAGCACTCTGCTCGGAACTGCATCTCCAGCCTGAATTCTTTCTGAGAAACTTTCTCAGTTACCATTCATTTAGCAGTTTTTATTGAACACCTACCATGCAGAGGACAGTGACGAGGGCCCTGAGACGATGAGGATGAACAAGATGGAGCACTCTGCACTACTCAGCAAAATCCGTTTCACTAAGAAAATTTTTATTATTTCTTATGGCTTCTCACAAAACTCACCGATTTGGGTAATAGGAAACTAGGATTTCTTGGAATGAATGCTTTGTCTTTTGAAGTTTGATAAAGGTAAAGATAACTGTTTCCACAGGTAATGGGGAAGCAGAGTTCCAAAGAAGCCTGTTTCTTTAGGACCTGGTACTTTGAGAGTGCTACAAGGTCTTGGCACGAGCTCTCCTGTTCTAGTCTGAAGACTGATTGGTAGTTTGGGGAAAAGAACATTGGGGAAGCAAGCTTCCATTTACAAGTTACTAATTTGCATTGTAACTTTGATCTCGGTAACCATGAATACAAGCCTCAGAGAACCATGAAAAAGATCACAATGAAATCAGGTTATTTGAAGGAAACTGGGAGGAACTTACTGAGATCATCAGCCTTGAGTCAGCTTCCTGGGTCTTGTGAGTCCCCCCCTCCCCAAGGAGGGACCAGTACAATCTGGAGGAAGGGGCTACATAAACAAACAAAACCAGTCCTTTTCAGAGTGGGGGCTTCCTGCTTTGAGCAGCAGTTGCTGGGTTATCATTCCCACACTGTTGATTCCTGCAGACCTGGTCTGTGTGATTCATCCACAGTACTCTGGATGTGCAGAGAAAGGTTTCCAAGCAACAAAGCCAACATCACAGCTGCAATAAGCCTGCCTTTCAAACTACTGCGGCTACCATGTAACTCCCCCTCTAAGTACTCAAGATTGCTAAATACAAGTTTTGGCACAGAAATTCATTTCTGTGTTAAGAGTTTAAAGCTAGGCCATTCTGGTTATAGTGGCACACACCTTTAATCCTAGCATTCAGGAGGCAGAGGCAGAGGCAGGAATCTCTGTGAGTCTGAGGTCAGCCTTGTCGAGACAGACCCTTGTTTGAGCTGTATACCTATATCTGTATATACATACAAAGAGATACTATATTGAATGCAGGTGCACAGTGTTAATGGGAGAGCCCAGATAAAATCTAACTTGATATACCTGGAGGGGACCTCTTGATTCTGAGTCTTGGCCTGATATCGGGGATCTAAACTGTCAGCAGTTAATCTCTCTCTCTCTCTCTCTCTCTCTCTCTCTCTCTCTCTCTCTCTCAAGTATATATCTGATAATTTATGAACCAGAGACAGTGATGATATGGTTGCCCCTCTCTATGCTGTGAATATGTTTATATCATTGGTTAATAAAGAAGCTGCTTTGGCCTACGGCAGGGCAGACTATAGCTAGGTGGGAAAGCCAAACTGAATACAGGGAGGAAGAAGGTGGAGTCGAGGGAGACACCAGCAGCTGCTGGAGAAGCAAGATGTGAGGTAGCAAGCCATGAGCCTTGTGGTAAAATATAGAATAATAGAAATGGTGGACAGAAGGGAAACCTCTAGTTACACAGTAATAACTTAATAAAACAACATGTGGGTTTTTTTTTTCTTTCCTTTTCTTTGTTGTTGTTGTGTTTTTTTTTTTCAAGATGGGGTTTCTGTGTGTAGCCCTAGTTGTCCTGGAACTCACTCTTTAGACAGGCTGGCCTTAAACTCGGAGACCCTCCTGCCTCTGCCTCCCCAGTGCAAGGATAAAAAGAGTGCACCACCACCCACACCCTGCTTAAACAGAGCAGTTTTAACAGTATAACACAAGTTCTATGAGTGTAATAGCTCAAAAAACCCTGCTCTGTATTGTATGTAGGGTTGGTACTGTCTTTGGAGAGAATGATTAACTTACACCATAGAAAGTAAAATCACAGATCAGGAGTCTTCAGCCCTTACTCTGGTCAAAATCACATTTCTGCCCAGATTAAGTCTTTGTCAAATGTATACGCCAGTGACCATGAGCTGGTCATTGGCCTTCTTCCTTGTGACAGTGGAAATGAACAGGTAACATGGTGGGCCCATGGGATGATTTATTCAAATTACAGAAAAGCCTGGGCTGCCCTCCTTCCCAGGATAAGAGACGCTCTCTGGGTCTGATGAAATAGAGTTCCCAGTAAGGGTCTTTACTATTCTTATTTTGCTACTTTCTATTAAGGTAGTGTTGTAGCTGGTAGCTTTTTCTTAGCATCTTACAAAGGATTAGTCTTCCATGGCATTAAATATAATGATTGTCCCTATATTGTCTCCATCCAGATTCCAACTTGTCCCCATCACCTCCCTCTGTACTGCAATGGCAGCACACGACAGTGTTCCTAGGCCATGGGCAGGATGGAGGATCCTCGGCAGTGAGCTCACATGCCTCTCAAGGGGCCTTTCTTCTCAAAGTCCCACCATTTTCCTCTCACTTGGCCCTTGTTCCTTTCTTGGGGCCCTGATTTAAAGTTAGCTCTAAACACAGGAAACAGTCCACCCAGTGCTCAAGGACATCTGACAGCCAACATCCCAATATTAATGTAGGTCACACCTACCCAAACTCTCTGCCTTGCCTATCATTGTGACTTTCATTTCAACCAGGTGCCAAACAATCACTAATGGATATTTACAGAGGAAATGGTAACTTGCTGCAACCCAGTTTAAGACATGATCTAGTCTCTTTGGTCTTACCTATAAAGGATTTAGGACATAAAATTGTCCTGGCTGGCTGGGGCTTCTCTGTTTCCTTTCCCAACCCTTTACTTCAGATCTCCAGTTAGGAACAGAGCATTACATAAAACAAGTTTACATAACAGCAGCCGTGCCACATAATCACATATTATGGCTGGTGATAAAGAAAAAATAAGCATTTCCCATAGCATGACTCTCTCAAAAGAATTTAAATTACAAACCTAAACTGAAACCTCCTGGGTTTTACTAGAGTTACAGAACTGATAATGTCCAACTGGGATATATAAATTACCATGTTTAGAGACACCACTTGACTCTTAATCAAATGCTCCTGCTACTTAATCTAAGGTGCAATCCCTCTTGATAATTGGCAGGTGATATTTTCATAGGAAGCCGAGTCTATTTATACGCACGCGTGTGCGCGCGCGCGTGTGTGTGTGTGTGTGTGTGTGTGCGTGTGTGTGTGTGTGTGTTTAAGCTGTGCCCTCTGTCCTATTGGCTGAGGAAGTGAAGAATCATTCTAGCTTTTGAAATATTTAGCTTCTAGGAAGCTGAAAACCTTGGATGTTGCAGTTGTCTTCTTTGCGGGTGGTTTGGGAAAAGGAAAGATTGTTTTAAGAGCATGGTTGGGGTCTGTTTTGTAGTGTGCTGTGTGGGCTGCAAGTTCTTCCCACTTTACAGATTAAGCCAAACTGCCTGTTGAGAAAGGTTTGTTAGCCAGCTTTTGTTTATAAAACACCAGAAGCTCGGGAATGTTAAATATATGAGCCCAGTACTCGAAAGTGAGTTTAGAGCCGATATTTCTAATATTTAGCCTGGAGTCCATGAACTTTCTCTACTAAAACCGCCATTGAATCCCACATCTGATGAAAGGAGACTAACCTCAGTATGACAAACCTGATTGTGCCAGGCCTCCTTTCTGGAGGTGAGATTGTGATCTGAGGTGAACAGCTGTATAAGCCAGGACAGTCGGAGATTAAACGCAGGTGGCCAACAGGAAATGTTATGCTGCCCATAGTTTCACACTTGTTTCTTGGTGCCCTGCATGCTGAAAACTGAATCTCCTTGCTAGGTGGCTGCAAAGTTCCGATAAAGACGTTTTGTTTTGGTCTGTGTTTCTGGGGGATGGCGTAACTATGCAGCCTGACCAACAAATGCCACACAGCCCTGACGAATGACTCATGAGCTCAACTGTAAGATCTTGCGTCAGTTTCAAAATATCATTTATAATTACCTAAGCCACATAGCCAAGAGCTTATCACAACTCATTATACTATCTTGACTCTGTTCTAATTTAATCTTTATTTTTCTAAAAAAAATGTGTATGGTGAAGAAAAAGACGATGTATTGTAGATATCTATATTAAAATACTTTTATATAATAAAAGTTTCCTAAGTTAATGTTGAATTGTTTTCAAGTTGTATATATTTTTTAAACATAGGATCTCAAGTAAGATTGACCTTGAACCCCCTATATAGAAAGGATGACCTTGAACTTCTGACCTCTTGGCTCTAGAGTGCTGGAATTATGGGCATGTACCACACACCCAGTTTACGTAGTGTCAGGACTTGAACTCAAGAACTTGTGTATGCTAAGCACTCTACCATGGAGCTACATGCCCAGCCCTAGAAGTTAGAAAATTAAAAAAAAAATTACAATCTCGGTAGAGCAAAAATAGCCCTGTCCCCAAGGAAAACAAACCTTTAACTGTTATTTTGTTGTTTTGTTGTTACAGTTTCTGTTAACCATCTTATATTCTTCCTCCCTCCCTCTTTCTGTCTCTTTCTTTCCCCACCCCCTCGTTTCCTGAGAAATGGACTAAGATGGAGTCGATATGACCCTGAACTCTCCATCTTCTCGCCTTCTGCCTGTATCCAGAGTGTTGGGATCCTGAGTCTGGGCCACCACACACTACTTCTGTGTGGAAGTGTGGAACAGTGCCGGGGCTGGGGAAACAGCTCAACTGTTCAGAGCACTTGCAGAGAGTCAGGAGTTTGGTCACCAGTAGCCAAAGGGCAAATCACAGGCTTCTGACACTCCAGTTCCAGGAGATGCATCACCCTCTTCTGGTCTCCCAGGGCACTGTAAAAAGGCGCCGGCGTGTGCACACACACACACCACACACACACACACACACACACATAGACACCACATGTTTTAAACATTTAAAGACAATGGTGATGTTAGAGTGAATTTCTTTCTGTTTCTCTTATCACCAAGCTAATTAGAAGAGAGAGAAGGGAAAAAAACCAGTATCTTCTGTAGACAATATAGTGAAAAGAGAATAAGAACACTTAGCTATAAAACAGAGAGATGGCACCCTGAGCTTAGGTGTCCCTTGTCAGCTGTTGTCACTGGGTGATCCACAGTTGAGAATGATTGATAGTTTCATCACTAAAAATAGCTTCTCTTAAGAATGGTAGCTAGTGAGTTGAATTCCACCGTGCATGGTAGAGTGGGAACTGCCTTTCTATTAAATAAGGATGCAGGCCTGTTTAACCTCTGCAAAGGAAGTCTTTGCTCGCAGCCCTCCTAGTGTGTGTGGTCAGGTGAAGGCGGAGCTATTTTATCAAGCCACCTGCTCTCCTGTGGGATTGCTGACAGCCAAGCCTCTTTATGTCATGAGCATAGCTAATAAATGGGGTCACTAGTTCCCATCTTCCCAGAGGGTGACATTTGGTAACAGGCCAAGCAAAAGAGAGCGACAGGCACGTGGGAGGGGCGTTGTCCAGCCAGGAAGGAAGGTTGAGCTCAGAGCCTCGGGAGTGAAGGAAGCAGAAAGGGTCTGGAGGCGTGTGGGCCACAGCAGAGTTATTTACGGGGTGCAACTTTCCTTGGAGACATTTTAGGAGCCGGCTGGGTTGTGGGCGTCCGGGGAAGAGGTGCTTTGTCCCAGGGTGTATGTTTGGTAGGGCAGGTGGCATGGCGGAACAGAGGGGCACCTTCGCAGCCCTCCCTGCACCTCAGCCACCCCACCCCCACCCTCTCTCTGCTCCGCCCCGCCCCCATCCCCACCCACCCTTCTCAGGTTTCCCTGGGAGTCGCCATGGCAACAGACGCTGGCTTTGGGATTGATCCTTTCTGAACTCAGAGGGCTGGCGCACAGCCTGCGGGCATGGCGGACGCTGAGACTGAGAACTGGGAGGACACGTCAAAGACCCAAGGGTGCCGGAGGATTCTCGAGACCCTCCAGGGGGCTATTGAACAATTTCAATACAACCCCAGGTGACCTTCCCGCTGAGCCCACGCACCCCAGAGCAGGCCCACAGCCTCGTGTCTTTTGATTTCTTAAGTAAACCGTAGGTTAAAAGCTCAGGCTCAGGGCTGGATTTCAATTCTGCCTAGCTTCTCACCCCGACCTGACTTAGGTGGTTTACTTCTCCGTCTCTATTATCTCACCTGGGAACAGGACAGTGGCCAACTGTGCCTGCTTGTCATCGAGCACGGCATGTTAAATGTGTTCACCCAAGTATGCTCTAGAAGAGAGCCATACAGTAATGACAGAGAGCTGCTTTAAGAAAAATACCAGAGACTCCAGCTTTTAAACACAGATTTCTTTGGCTATTCTAAGGCTGAAAGTCCAAGTACTGGGCACTGGTTTGGTGTCTTGTAGTCCTTTCCCATAAACACTTTCTTTGGGACCTGCAGAGGGGCTGTCTCCCAACTTCCCCACTCTCTACCACCACCACCCTGCCTCTTATAACGGTACAGTTCTATTTCAGAGGCTCCCACATCATGATCCGTTCAGCTCTCTTGACCCCATATTCTAGAAGCCATCAACAAGTAGGGTGTTGACATGGATTTTCTTAGAACTAGAGCACTTCCCAAAAGCACAGAGACAGCCAGTCATACGCGTTTGTGTTATTTCAGGATCCTTGGCTTTCATTTCTCCTTCTTGGGATTCTGTGACCTCAACCCTACTATTGTTATTTGGATAATGTAGAGTTGACATTTCTTGTGTGTGTGTGTTGGGGGTGGGGAACATTTTTCTTAAAACACCTTTTCAAAGTAGTGGGCACAAAAGCCTGGGTTAACTGCTATAAGATGCAGTTTCATAGGCGGAGGCTTCAGGGAGCCAGGTAATTGGTTCCAGGCAATCCCAACACCATGGTAGCTCCAGGTTGCTGGGGCGTGGATGGGGGTAGGGCAGTTGCCTATAGCTGGACCAGTCCAATAGTGGGCTTGACTCAGTGACACAATCCTGTTGAGCCCAGCCTCCCGAGTGCAACTGTATTAAACAATAGGTACGTTGATCAAACAGAGTCAGAGTACACGCAGACCCTGATAAAGGTACATAAAGACCCTGATAGGTGTCAAAAGCACATATCACAGGCAGTTCACGGTAGACACCAGTGGATTACACTATGTGTAATCTGTTCCTAAGAGTCCCTTTCTCCTGGATTTCTTGACATTCCACCGTGGAATAAGTCCCCAACAACATTCCAGCCAGACTCAAGGGACTGACTGACTTCTGCCGAGTACCATACTAACATACATTGACTGGATCCAGAAACCACTAACGCCCATAACCTTTTTTCTTCAGTGAACCAGGTTGGAGTTCTGAAATGAGTGGGAGAAGCTGAACACCCCCCAACACCCAGTGACCTGAGCATAGCTGGGTTAGGGCCTGGGAAGACAGCCATTCACACAAAGACAGCTCAACCCTGGTGAAGTAGACATTCTAGTTAGGAATCAACGGCAAACTAGTTAAGTCAGCGACCATATGAGTCAGGCAGCATGGACAGAGAGACAGAAGCAAAGGGTAGCAGAGGAAATCGTGTGTGCACGTTACACACCCCCAAGTCACCGAGTAGAAAAAAAGGGGGGAATTATAATTTTAGATATGGCTCTCAGAAATACTTCACTGTGCTGACATTAAGAAGAAATTGCAGGGAGGAGCCAGGCAGATAGATCTGGAGCCAAAACCCTGGCTGAGAGAAAGGGAAGGTAGGGAGTCTGGGTATAGGAATACAGGAGGCCTGCATGGCTGTAGCATAGAGTGGGGTGAGGCAAAAGAGAGATGGCCAGATTCCACGGTCTTAGATCGCCACAAAGACTTCAGCTTTTATTTCCAAGGAGGTGGGAGGCCAGGAGGGTATTGACGTAGAGTCCCAACATTCTCTGACTTACCTATCTACTGGTTTGCTCTGCTGTTTTGACAATAGACCACAACAGGGACAAGGGCACAAGTGGGGAAACCAGCTAGGGGACTTGTATAATATCTATCCAGGAGGATGGCCTTGGAGAGTTGCTATGAGGGCCTGAGTGTATCTTCAGCCATGTACAAAGCTGGGCATAGTGAAGCAAATCTGTAAGCCCAGCTCGGGGGTGGGGGTCCCAGCTGCTCACTGCCAGCCACTAATCTAGCTGATGCAGCTAGAAGCCGGAATTCATCAAGTGGTTTCATTCCAAAAACAAGGAGGCACACAATAGAGGAAGACACTCAACCTTGACTTCTGGCTTCCCATGCTCACACACAAGCAGATAAGCAGACAATGCTTGTGGAAATTGTGGTCATGTGGTCGCTGGAGAACAGGAGGCGGTCCTTGGAGGAGCTGAAGATGTGATCAGATTCTTATTACTCCTTTAAAAAGGGATTGGTTAAGTTTACTGATGGACTGCCATGCCTAGGACAGTCTCCAAGGTTTCTGACTTGAGTAGCTGGAAGAATGGGGTTGCAGTTAATTTTGTTGGTAAAGGGAATGTGAGCAACAGGATGGGGTGATGTGATCAGCTCCCCTTGGGATACAGAATATCAGCAGTGACTGTTGAAACATCTATTTAAGCAGTTCAGTAGTGAGGCCTGCAGATTGGACGAGGGGTCCAGTTTGGTATATCAATTTGGAAATAATTTGTAAAATGATGCTGTGTTAAGTAAACTATAAGATTTGGTAATATCAGCCAGAAAATACATATATAAATTTATATATATATATACATATATAACATACAGATATATATTGATTTTTGATTTGATATAATATATATCAAATATATCTTTGAAACAGAAAACAATAAAAGACTATTTTCCTTAAATAACATTGAGCCATTCAGCACAGTGAAAATTTAGCACCTCT